TCTGTCCGGGTCACAGAACTGGGTGCGGCTGTCGAAGCACCCCTCCCCACCGCCAGGGGCTAAAGGCGGGGAGCCGGGCGAAGCACCGGGAAGCCGAACTCCGCGGAGAACGAAGGGACTTGACACGACTGCCACAGACCCGCCTGCCAGGTTGTAGGCCACCCAGGCTGCTCGAGGGCGCTGGCTCCCGCACCAGGATACGTCTCACAGACTGGGTGGGGCCGCCGCCACGCTCGGTCCACCTCGGCCCCCCCCCCGGCCTCTGAGCCCCCATTGGCCGAGCCCTCGCCCAACTTCCTGCCCCCGCCCCCCGAGGCCCTACCAGCACTTCCTTTGCGAAACTGGGCAGCCCTAGACCCTTGCAGGAAGTGTCCTCGCTTCTCTCCCAGGCCCACCCTCGTCTACTACCCACGCTGGCCACTAGAGGCCTCCCTGTCCTCGAGGACGCTAGGAATCCCCACCGCCCGGCTTGTCCCCACACCCTAGGCACACACACTGCCCCTACCCCACCCCGGGGACTGGAACCTCAAGGGCAGCCTCATTCACCGCTTTCCAGGGTGGGAAGCCTAGAATCCATTTGAGAGGCACAACCTCTCCCAAATGTCGGTCCCGGTGCCCCCAACTCCATCTCCCCAGTGTCTCATCACCCCTTACCTCATGAATCCAGACTCCAAGCTTCCCTCCTGGTGCCCCAGATGTGTATTGGCTCCCAAGTTGGTGGGGGGGGGGGGGCGGGAGTCTGTGCTGTGTATAAAACCAATCCTTATTCCCTTTCCCTCCCATCTGTAACCCCACTACTTTTCCCTAGTAGAAAAGAGGACGAACCCACCTGGAGAAGGCTGCGGCATCCTTGCCTCTGCCACAAGAGGCTTTGGCTATAAATACTCAGCCCTCCCTGGGCTCTGCCCTTGTCCTTGGGTCTTGCTCTATATTCTGTTCTCCATGCAAACTGTACCCCCCTCTCATGCCCCAGATTTGCATCCCAGAGGCCACCAGGGCTTCCCAACTTTGAATGAGACCACAGTGAGGCTTCCCCACCACCACCACCTACACACCCTCCACCCACATAGAGTTCAACCCAACCACATGTATCAGGTGCTTACTATGTGCCAGGCACGGTGCCAAGACCAGCCGATACCTCTGATCTCAGGAAACTCACACCCTAGTGTGGAAAGAGAACCGTGAACACTGGAGCACTACAAATGCAGTGTGAAAGAGAAAATGGAAGGCTGGAGAGGGCAGGGGATGTCCAGGGGTGTTCGAAAGCATGCCCTGCAGGAGTGAGGCGTGGCCTGGGGGGTTTGAAAAGGAGGAGGCAGGTGAAGGTGTCCTGAGCAAGGAGGGTGCACTGGGAGAGGAAGTGAGCAAAAGTGGCCAACCACAGCAGCGAATGGGAAGTGACCAAAATTTTGGGATGACACACAAAGCGGGGAAATAGGAAATGAAGCTGCTTAATGCAAGAGAGGGCAGATAATGCAGATAAGGGAGCAGCCTTTTTCTTGCAGGCGCTGGGCACCCTTGAGAGATCCTGAGCAGGAGGAAGGTGTACTCAAACCTGCAGCTCCACACTGAAAGCTCCATCAGGGCTACAGACATGAGATTCTGTTAGGAGACCTGTACAGCCATGGTACCAAAAATGAAGAATGAAGGCCTCAGGCAGAGGCAGAGTGAAGAGAGAAGGAAGGAGGGATCAATAAGGGGAAGGAGATAAATGTGGCAGGAGGAGGTATCTGGTTGGCTCTGGGGGAGGAAGAAGAAGAGGGAGAAAGGTGACATAACTTCTGGCTTTGGAGATGTCAAATGTGAAAATGTCTCTAACCAAGCCTGGTAATGGGACAAATATTACCTACTTGCTTGTTATACATATGTACACACACACACCCCATACACACTCCAGAGGTTGCTGGGAGACAGGCCCTGGCAAAGTGCCGCTGGCAGAAGTATAAACTGGTGCAACCTCATTGGCAAGTGATGTGACGATATCCATTGAAAAATTTTTTTAGGTCAGGTGCAGTGACTCATGCCTGTAATCCTAGCATTCTGGGAGGCTGAGGCAGGAGGATCCCTTGAGCTCAGAAGTTGGAGACCAGCCTGAGCAAGAGTGAGTCTTTGTCTTTACTAAAAATAGTTGCTCATTGTGGTGGGCACCTATAGTCCAAGCTACTGGAGAGGCTGAGGCAAGAGGATCACTTGAACCTAAGAGTTTGAGGTTACTGTGAGCTATCTTGATGCCATGGCACTCTACCCAGGTAATATTTTATCTCAAAAATAAAAAGTAAAAAAAAAAAAAGACACAAATACATACATGCTCTATATTTTTGTTCACTCTGGTAAGGTAATTGTGGCTAATCCTGAGGAGGGCAGGAGGACTGAAATTCACCTAGGATATAAGGGCCACATTTTATTATGTATCTGTTCGTATATTTAATTATTTTTACAAGTATAATTAATAATTTTTTTCAATAAAAATCAGATTGAAATTAAAAATTACACACTTGGCTTCCTAAATATAATGTCAAAAATGTAAATCATAAATTCCATTTTCCTTCAAACATTCATTTCATGCCTACTACGCACCAGGTTCTTAGGTAGAACAGTGAGGTAAACACTGGGAGGAAAACAGAAATTTTCAAAAAGTAATTACAACCCAGCACAGTGGCTCATGTCTGTAATCCTAGCACTCTTCGAAGTCAAAGCAAGTAGATCACCTGAACTCAAGAGATCAAGACCGGCCTGAGCAAGACTGAGATTAAAATTAGAAAAATTAGCCAGGCATTGTGGCAGGCCTCTGTAGTTCCAGCTACTTGGGAGGCTGAGGCCAGGGGATCTCTTGAGCCCAAAAGGTTGCAGTGAGCTATGATGACATGGCACTTTACCCAGTGCACAGAGTTAAGACTGTGTCTCAAACAACAACAACAACAACAACAACAACAACAAAACAGTAAATACAAGTGAGTATTACCAAAGGAGACGTAGAAAGTGGTAACTAAAAAAAAATCAACAATTTTCGGCTCGGCGCCTGTGGCTCAAGCAGCTAGGGTGCCAGCCACATACACCTAAGGAGGCAGGTTCAAATCCAGCCCGGGCCCGCCAAACAACAATAATGGCTGCAACCAAAAAATAGCTGGGCGGTGTGGCGGGCACCTGTGGTCCCAGCTACTTGGGAGGCTGAGGCAGTAGACTCCCTTGAGCCCAGGAGTTGGAGGTTGCTGTGAGCTGCGATGCGATGGCACTCTACCCAGGGGGAAAGCTTGAGGCTCTGTCTCAAAATAAAATAAAATAAAATAAAGACAAAAAACCAAACAAACCAATTTTCATGCTGTACCAGGTGCGGTATCTCACGCCTGTAATCCTAGCACACTGGGAGGCCAAGGCAGGCGGATTGCCTGAACTCACAGGTTTGAGACTGGCCTGAGTCAGAGTGAGACTCTAAAAACAGCTGGGCGTTGTGGTGGGCGGGTATAGTCCCAGCTACTTGGGAGACTGAGGCAAGAGATTCTTTTTAGCCCAAGAGGTTGAGGTTTGAGTATGAAGGGTGATAAAGTTAAGCTCTGTCTCAAAAAAAAAAAAAAATTCTCATGCTGCCTGCCAGTACCAAATGGCCACCCCCAAATAACTTATAATTGCAAAAGGGGAAATATGCCTTTGGGTTTAGTATCTGGCAGTCACCACTATAACCAGAGGATCAAAATTTGCATTACTCATGTGGGATAACTAGATAATTCCTGAGCAGTACAACATCATCGGTGTTGACTATGCTCCTGATAGTACGGGGCAAGGCCCAGCATGGTAGTATCACCTTGGAGCTTGCTAGAAATACAGAATCTCTGGCTCCACCCCAGAAGTATTCAATTAGAATCTACACTTTACAAAGATTCCCAAGTGATTCTTTATGGTACTACAGTTTGAGAAGCACTGGCCTCTAAAGTATTCTTTAAACCGTGTTAAACCAGAACTTACAGAGGGCACTTCCAGCTTGTGGGAAGGAGTGGAGGGAGGAAGAGGAAGCAATTCAGTGATACCATAATGAAAGACTCAGCTCCATAGTGTGAGCACTTTACCAAGCAGCTGTCTTTGACTCAGGTAAGTCAATGTCACCAAAAAAAAAAAAAAAAAAAAAAAAGGGAAGGGGCTCTTCTAGATTAAAAAATCCTAAAGAAAAACAAAAAGTACTAAAGAGATATAGCAAAGGAAATGAATGATTTTTTTTTTTTTAGAGACAAATTCTCACTTTGTCATCCTCGGTAGAATGCTGTGGCATCACAGCTCACAGCAACCTCCATCTCTTGGGCTTAGATGATTCTCTTGCCTCAGCTTCCCGAATAGCTGGGACTACAGGCGCCCACCACAACACCTGGTTATTTTTTTGTTGCAGTTTGGCCAGGGCCGGGTTTGAACCCACAACCCTCAGTATATGGGGCCAGCGCCCTACTCACTGAGCCACAGGTGCCGCCCGAAATGATGATCTTGATTTGATCCTTTAAGAAATTTAACCATTAAAAAAAAAAAAAAAGAAAGAAAGAAGGGGCAGTGCCTGTGGCTCAAAGGAGTAGGGTATCGACCCATATGCTGGAAGTGGTGGG